AGATGCCGGCCGCACCCCGCCGTAATCTTGCCCTCTGACTGACTATGTGGAAATACGTTTAACCTACTGAAATTGTCGACCCTCGAATTATTTTTTTTCCCACTGTGCATGATTCCAGTGTTCTTAGAACGGTTTATACTTAATTTATGAACCAAACGTCTTGGTAATCTACAGATGTAAACGTAAATAAATAAATTTCTTTAGAATGATTCTTTTGCTTAATGTTTATCGTAACTTGAGTGATTAATGGCTTCTTATGTTATTCACCAGTGTTGCCATTTGTAACATAATTATCGAATTGTAACATAAATTTTTCTAAAAACAGCTTGAAAATTATATGTATCATAACGGTAATTGTAACATAATTTTTAATACAAGTATCTGGACAAAATTAACTTAATTCTATCCAGATTAATAAATTTAATTAAGCATAAAGCCTGATTTATAGATTTTCTACCTTCCTCCCGTAAAATATCAGCAATACCGTAGTGCTGATTATAGTTTCCCGTACGGTATTTATAGTTCTAAAGGTAACGGTAGAGGCAACGATAACGGTAGCCAAGTTGGGCATTGAATATTATATGAAACAATTTATAGTTGTCAGTATACGTTATAGCGGCAAGAGCGGCAAGAGATGACCATTTCAAATTTTCTTACCTCATCCGCGACTCCAGCCAATCACACGGCAGTTTTTAGTTGACAGCCTCGCCTTGTAAGTTTAGTGTTTATAGGAGGGGCCGCCATTACCGCTACCGCTACTTTCTGAACTATAAATCCAGCTTTATACTATTTTTAACAAATTTTATAATTTTCTAAAAATTCGATAATAATTTCAACCCTGCTTCCTTCACTTTTATATGATTAAATTATAATAGTTATTGTAACATAATTATTACAATTATTGTAACTTAATTTTCCGAAAATTCGATAATTTTATTTACCCAATTCGATAATTTCAACTTTTACATCTGGCAACACTGCTATTCACACACAACTTGTTTATGTTGTTTTTGTCTTCTTGCAAGAAGCATGCTTTTGGTTTATTATTTATCTTACGCCTTTTTCGATGGTTGTTTATGATTTGTCTGCTAAGTATGAGAAATGAGGTTGTTTGTTTAAACTTACGGAATTCTTTTTTAATTTAGTTTTTGAGACAATAAAAGAATTCTTAGAATTATTAGTATTTTCTTTTTGCAACATTGTGAAATGCTTTTATAAACATTTAGCGAATATACGGTAAGACATGCAATTGGAAAAAATAACTTAGCTTGATTATTTGGTGCTGTAAATTTCATGGAACTGAACGTCTCTCTCACACCTTTTAACCAGGTCCAACACTTGAGGTACCTCACACAATTTGCACTCTTTTGCACTTGGGACAGTTATCGCGTTTAGAATCGATTGATTTTTTATTATTTTTTTATTATTTTCCGGCGTTAGCCAGTTATCACGTCACTACGTTTGTATCGTATACACTGAGACTGCGTGGAATGCGGATTATTCAAATAAATCCGAGAGATAGATGAAATACAGACCCTTATCTGCAACATTTATTAAGGCTGATATTAATTGAATCGAGTTTGTACAACGTCCAAAACTTTACTGTGAACTTTATGGACACCCTATAGATAATCTATAAGGCAGTGGTATTTACGTAAAGACAGTGACAAGCCTGCACGGGGGTCCTCAACGGAGGCCAAACCTAAAATCATTGTCAGTTAGCAATAAGTTTATTAGAGTGGGGTTTGATCTTGTAAAAAAACACCCGTATTAAGCGTTCCAAAGCTAAATTGTTTGTACCAGCAGCATTAAAAGAGCGTTGTCCCATGAATGTGGAATTAATCTTTTGTGTTTATTAATAGCTCAATTATTGTGGGACATTTTTCATTCGTCGGACAGAGTGAAGGTCGAGGCCAAGATACGCAAACTGCAATGACACTTTTTTTTCTTCGCGCGTCCATCCTCCGTGTTAATAAATATTTCAACCGCAGTAACAATAACAACTTTCAATGGGCAAACAATGAACCTATTATTGATAACATTCCCGACGTTTTGTTTGCTGATTATTTATTTACTCTGTGCAATCAGTTTAAAATACAATGCAATTATTTACTTTGAACCTAATAAACCAATCAAACGTTTGCTAGAGCATTTTCTTGCCAAAATTGTTTACTATACAAAAGTTAATCCAGTTTACCATTTTTAGTAGTGCCATATGGTTAAATAATTGTATTCAAATTTAAAATGTTAATATACAGGGTGTCACCTAATAAATTGCCATCCTTTGGGGGGATGATGGTACATGCCAAAAAAGTTTTTGCATTAGCGCTACTGTTTTGTAATAATAAAAAATAATAATTTTTTTTGAGAAAACCAGGAAGCCACTGGATGTTACTGACCTATCCTAATATATCATTATTGTTTTTACGTCTAAAAACAGTGATATTTTTCAACCAAGCAAAAAAAATGGGTACACAGTAAAAAAAATCAACTCTAAGCAACACTAATTAGAGTTTACAAAGGTCCACACTAAATAGTGTTGTTTTATAACACTACAATTGAGGAGCATCCGTGCAAAACCGGCTATACCCCCTTTAATAAAATGTTGGGAAAATGGCAAAAACTCTCGGTTTCATGGCATTTACAGATAAAAAAAAGCAAACTTGAGTTTTGTGGGCTTTGTGGTACTTGATTTATAAGACATACTTTCGTTTTCCAAATCTTTATATTAAGGCCAAAATTTCAAAAAATGTTTTGTATATAGCCGGTTTTGCTCGAAAACCGAATAAAAATCGAATAAAATGTGAAAAAAAAACCTTATTATTCAAAAATATTAACAAAATAAATTTAGTGCAAACATGAAAAAACAGCACAAATTTTAGTAGTTGTATATCGACATATCCAAGCCACATATTATTATTTATTGGATATAGCCGGGTTTGCTATAAAAACGTGGATTTGGCCGGTTTTGCTCCAAAAGCTACCTTTTAAATGTGATTTTAACATGGATTTAGTAGGATTTAAACAGAATTATCTTGGTTGTCGATAGAAATGAACCCAAAGATGCGATGCTCCTCAATTAGAGTTAATTTGTAGTGTAATTTTCCCCTAGTAAGCAAGTATGATTTAGCACTATAGCACTGAGGATAAAAATCTATGACAATTATCAAAATCGGTGCCTTTTAAAATATAATTTTATTTTTGAGTCGTATGGCTGGCTTAAGCAAAATGGTTCCTTAAAACGTAAAAGTTTTAGATCAATGCAATGTTTTTCTGGCTGTCAACTTGTAAGCAATGAATTATCTTGAGAATTCATCAGCACTAAATGCTACCTAGTGTATTTTGTAGTGTAACTAACAAATCAACTAATATTTTTACCCCTACACTAAAAAATTTACACGGGCAAAATTTTTTACTGTGTACGCGCACATTGTATTATCTAATATAAAGCAAACTTTTAAACTTATTTAAAATCGGTTAGTAGTTACTTTGTTATCATTGATTACTGACAGTTCGGTTGTTATTGTGGTTTCTCTAGGGCTACATGAACAGTTTAGTGTACCAGAGCTAAGTTGACACATTAAAACAACTCCGCGCACTTGTCACTGCACCGGCAGATGAAATCCGAAATCATCCGGATATGATAGAAAGAACGATACACCATAATTTTCTACGCCACTGCCAACTGTGGATAATAACGGCGGGATAGTTAAACATTTATTATGATTTTGTGAAACACTTAAAAAAATAGCTACATGAGCATCAATCGACGTAAAAAGTGAAAGGTGAAATTTAAAATCGACGGGAAAACCACGAAAACCTCGAGATACCTAACAATAAAAAGTAAGTATTGGTTTATTTCAAGTACCTAAAAATAGCTGAGTAAGCACAACAAAAAACGATTATCAACAAAGTAATCAATGATAACACAAATGTAAATTTTTAATGAATGTAGATTATTACCCACTGTGCGTTAGTTGTCATAGGTCATAAACAACCAGTGGCGGCCCAAAATTTCTACTTTACTTATAAAAAATTTAATGATTTTTTTGTGTAGGTAGGTACCCTTAAAGGATGACACCCTGTATAAAAAAATATTGAAAAGGAATGAAAAGTTAAAAGTTAACACTTAATGAAGGGTTAGGGGTAAATACGATAAATAAAAAACAAAGAATTTGGGACTTCTCAAAATTTAACTTAATTGTCTGAAATTATTTTTGCTTTAGCAGTCTAAACCTAGTGAATTTGGACCCCTATACTACAATCAATTAAGATGTCATTAGATTTAGGGTCCCCCTAACTACAGTTTTCCCCACATTTATTTATTTATGTGTCACCGTCTGAAATTCAAATAATCTAAAAGTCGAAAATTCGTGATTATGATTGATCATCATTTATTTGAGTTAACGTGAAAAAATACCTTTTTGCCTTTTTTGATATATTGCGCTAAAATCAATAAAGCGTTTAACTTGTGGTCTGTTTGCTGATAGATTTATTATGTGATTTAGCTAAAGAGCCTATCCAAGTTTGTTTGCCTACTTAGGTTATGTTTACATGTCGAATTCAATATCGTAGACGTTCTAATGAGGTATAAAACCAAAAATTTAAATCCTATGGAAGTTGACAAAAACTTTATTCTCTACACAACAACTGAAGCTATATATAGCTATATATACTCTAGTGCATTATATTATATTGACCTCATTTAGGCACAAAAAATGTGTCAACGAGTAGTACTTATTAGAGGAAGGATGTATACGTTTTAAAACTAAACAGGGCGACCTAACTTTGACATAAATTAGTATTTTTTGCCTGGGGTTAAAATTCAAAATTGCCGAATAGAGTTCAGATTTAAAAGCTGTCCAAGTGGACATCCGGTATGTGGACGTGATTCCGTTACAATTTCCTGTTGGTGTGCGCGACCATCGTTTGGTAAAATCGTCACGCGTCGCGTCAAAAAGCCGCTAATATACAGTGTGTGAATTTTTCAGTTGACTTACCTCTTCTGCGACCTCTTTGACCTCTCCGTTCTTCTCGGCATCCTTGTTGGGCTTGGATTTGTCCTTTTTCGAGAACGATATGCTCCTGAAGGACCACTTTTTCTTTTTGCTCTTGTCCTTCTTTTTACTGTCGGGAGTTTCTTCGATTTTGGCGTCGCCACTTTCCGGCGTTTTTTCCACCGACGAGTCCGCCGTCGGTTGATCGCCACCGGCTGTGTCTTCTTCTGCTACCGCTACTGGCGCTTCCGGTGTTTTTGGTTCGGCCACTTCCTTTGGTTCTTCGCCCTCTGAAACTCCGTTTTCCTTTATTTCCTCCTTGGACTCGGACTCCTTCACTTCGTTCTCTACTTTGGCCGCCAATTCTTTTTCACTCTAAAAAAAATTAAATTTTAGTCCAGATAACAAAGTTATTTCTACCTTGATTTATATATAGATATTAGGGTGAGCCAAAAAACCTACTATTTTTTTTTACTTTGTACTCTGAAAAATCGGTTACTAGACACCTCTAGAGAATTCTCACCAAACATGAGCTCTTAATTTTACAATTTTCCATTTTTTCCTCAGTATTAGAAACAAAAATTCATATCTCTTCGACAACTGTTCGTTAAAAAATATCTCTCCTCATATTCTTGTAGGAAATCGACGCTCTACAAAAAAGGTCTCTTACAATTTTTTCGTAAACCTCCCCGTTTAAAAGATATCGAAAGTTAAAGTTTAATTATTTTAAGAGAAATTTCTGTTTTGCTTATGAATTTTATAACTCGCTTACAAATTTTTTTAATGAATCGCGCAACTCATAGTTTTGTATGAAATTAACTGCTCTACAAAAATGGTCTCTTATGATTTGTCGATTACATTAAGCGTTTAAAAGATATTCATCGTCAAACTTCAATGCATTCTAATTTTAACAGTTTTCGAAAAATTTCAATTTAATTTTTGAGTTTTACGAAAATTTATACAAATTTGAGTTTCTATCGTAAAAGTGACTCTTATATGGAAAATTGTAAAGCGGAGGACCTTGTTATCAAAATTAAGAGCCAGTGGCGGCTCGTCAGGGTAGGCCTCTGAGGCCGCGCCTCACCCTTAAAATAAAGGAACGAACGACTTTTTGTATTTATATTTTTGCCTATTACAAGTGTATTTTTACAACAGTTCTACCCAATAAAAAGTAAAAAAACAATCAATCATATTAAGCGTAAATAAAAATCCAGGCGCAAAGCGCGTCAAGTTAACGTGCATCGTTGAGTCGCTTAGACAGAGGCGAAATTTTCACAGCCTCGGAAGCTCCCATTTACCTCTTGAAAGCGAAAATGACTCACCAACAAAAATATCGCCGTAAGTTCGCGAATAAACACCGTAGATGAGGCGAAATTTAGTTGGCTTGGTTTGTTCTGATTGGTGGTCCGTTTATGGTGGGATGCCAGCGGAGACAAAGAAGGTTGCCAGACTTCTCTTAGCGTTTGTAGAGCACGTTATTGTTTTGATTCAGATTAAATTATTTAAAACTTTTGGCTGATCTTTTATAGTTTTTGTCTCGATTAGTAAAATTTCTTATTTAATTATTGTAGGGAACACACTAAGGTAGATTTAGCAGTTTTTATTAAGCAAATTTTATATTTTGAAATAATAGATTGCATAATTTTTCAATTAGAGACGCGGTTTGAAAATTTAGAATTACTTTTAAATCTCACTGCAGACCCACAATTTTACGACCAAATAATAGATAAATTTTCAATCTTAAAAGATAGACGTATAGTATTTTATATTTTTTAATACTTAGGTAGGGGTCGACTTTTTAGTTTTATTTTTATTTTTTGATTAATTTATTTATTTTTAACTTTTTTAAGACTATATTTTAAGTTTAATATTAAAACTAGTCTTTGATGTGATATTTTGTTTGTTTTGTTTTTTAGAGTTTATTTTTTGGTTTAGTAGTGCTATCGGCTCCATTTTAAAAAAGGTCAACGCGTCGCAGAATAATACCTCCCGGGTGACGTGGAAATTTATTCGTATTTAGACAAAATTAACCTTATGTAGCCTCACCCTCCTGTACACCCACGAGCCGCCACTGTTAAGAGCTTATGTTTGGTGAGAATTCTCTAGAGGTGTCTAGTAACCGATTATTCAGAGTACAAAGTAAAAAAAAATAGTCGTTTTTTTGAGCCACCCTAATATATATATACTCTTTATATTGACAAAGATCTTACCACTGTTTTGTTAATAATGTTTCAAAAAACATGCGCAAATACTCGGCTAGAGATTTGTCATCGAAATTTTTTTTTAAATGTTCATATAAACGTTAAACATTAAAAAAACAGCTTTTTAAAATATCTTAAATATTGTTTGCCTGATTTTGTTGAAGTTGTTCAAGCGGCTTGATTTATAAAAAAATAATAAGAGGTATACTAATAATTTTGTTTGTCTCCTGACTTGTTTTCATATCATACCTTGTTGTCTACAGAAAAAACCATATTATTGCATGCAAATTGATAAAACGTACATTTTGCACCTTTTTACATTTAAACAAAAACTATAATTTTTGTTTAAATGTAAAAAGGTGCAAAATGTACGTTTTATCAATTTGCATGCAATAATATGGTTTTTTCTGTAGACAACAAGGTATGATATGAAAACAAGTCAGGAGACAAACTAAATTATTTTTTCTACGACCACTATGTAAAAGTCACTTTTCATTATGGCATCGTTGCTTAGAAAATGAATCTTTTCATTGGCAAGGCAAAACACGAATGTAAAGTGACATTTCTGTGTGAAAAGTGACAGGTCGGTGTGAAAAGAAACGGAAAGCATCGTTTGACATTCACCTGTCAAAAAAGTTTTTAGGTTATTTTGTTCGATGTGGCTCCCGTCCCGAGTCGGGACTTAACTTCGATCCCGACAGACGTCACACACTGTAAATCCGTTTTTATTCCCCGAGCTTTTATAATTGGTGTCAAGCTGGATGGCTTAGATGGTAGGGCGGTCGCTTGGCATGCGAGAGGTAACGGGTTCGATTCTACTAGAAGTTGTCAAACTTTTTTTATTTTTTTTTATTTTATAAATTTGTTGTTTCTTTGTTAAAAAGTGTTTTATTTTTATCGTAACATAAATTTGCCCATTTTAGTTGGGTTTTTTGCTCAATGGGGCGGGGGGGGCCCAATGGGGCGGGGTCGGTTGGGTTGTGTTGTTGAGTTTGGGTTGGTTTGGTTTTATGACGTAACTAACGTGCCCTTAACATGTATACAGGTACAATTTATTATTATTATTATTTTAACATAACAAATCTTAAAATTATGACGTCAATCGGGACTGAACTTAAGTCCCGCCTCGGGACGGGAGCCACAGCGTATTTTGTTTTGTATTTAAAAATAATAAAAAATAAAAGGGTCGCAGAAAAAACATTGTGTTATACTTGTGAGAAAAGCTTTCTTCAAGCTCGTGTTAATGCACACTCGGCCTAACGGCCTCGTGGGCAACTTAAAAACTCGCATGAAAAAGTCGCTTTTCAACACTTGTAAAACAAATAACTATTTAGTGGCTTAATCACAAAAAAAATAAAATTGCAAAAACTCAGTGGCGTACATTTTTATGTCATTAATATTTGCTAAGGTGCCTCCCGGACAATTTTAATCTAGTTAAATCAAAATTGGCTCCTTATCAGTTTAATAACGTTCCCAAATTTCAACAAAATAGGGCCAACGATTTTTACGATATTTCACGTTAATATAAACTTTTTTATCATTTTTAGATAATGAATCTTCAGCCGAGCATTGGCACATGTTTTTGAAACACACTGTATATAGAATGATCTCTATAGAAATGAGTAAACCAATCAGAACACAGCATTCTCTATCACACCCAGTGTGCTGTGGAGAATTTTGTACTGGTACTGGTTTGTGGCTGTTTAAAGATCATTTTTTATAGAAAGAAAAGTTGCAAATACTAATAATCAGCCCCTTGTTGATTTATATTATAAATTATTAACAAAACAGTGGCGAAATGTAACTCGTCAATGTAAATTCATTTAATCCAATTTAAATCATTTTAAGAAAAACCGTAAAATATATTACAACTGCTTTTAAAGTTTTGAACAACAAAAATGGCATTAAAAATATTGTGCAGTTCTTGCATTTTAGCAGTTGGCAAATTTTTAATGTCAGCCATATACATTCATATATTACTTGGTATTTTTTGTAAAATAAAACTTTTATATTTCAGCAACGTCAAGTTTATGGCTGTCATAAACTTTATTACAACTCGTATTAGCAGAAACTTGTTTATATTTAACTTTAAGAACCTGACCGGGATGAATTTATTAAAATACTGTTAAACCCTGAGAGACTGTAAGCTTTAAATAGACCTGCCAATATTAGGCAATAAATTCAACTCATAGTAATAACTCCTTGTTTTTACGAACGTCTTAAAGAAGACACGATAAATTTTCGAGGTAAATAAAAAATTACTCCTTAAGGGAAACATGTTTTTCAATAAACAGCCGCACTTTTACGCCCAAATAAATAATAGATTTGCCCAATTTCCGCTTATTAATGTCACTGGTTGCGCTATAAATTATTCAAGGCGTAAGCAATTCTTGAAAATTTTAATGGCATTAATAAAGTTATAAACATAATTACAATTAGTTGTTGATAATTCTGCCCATAAATGTTACACGCTGAATAAATTACAATAGTTTATTTCACAATGTTTATTACAATGGTTGTGAGATTAGACACACTGGATAATAGTAAAAGGCCCAGATTTATTGTGACTTTTAATAGGTCCTGAAAATGCATAATGAATGAATTATTGAAGCCTTTGAAGACATTTTTATATTGTGGGGGTCCTAAAAATGCACAAATCAACCTCTAATTATAAGAACTTTACATACTTTGATACATGCCTTGTATCAAAATAAGCCGCTAACCTATTAAAAATTCTAAAATTTCGAGGTGGTATATAACAATGTATTCCAAATTGTGCATTCCCGAGGCACTTAATCATAACAGGAATTATGTATTTCTCACTTGGTTCCCTCTTTCGTTGGCGATAACGACGATGGCCCGAGGGCCACAATATAACACCCTTTCTTCTTCCATTCCGCTTCCATCCACTTCTTGCCTTTTAAACGCACACAAACACTCGAATAGAAGCGATAATTACACGCTAAAATGTTTGCCTCGAAGTTAATTATCTTCTTTTGAGTAACGCGATACTCAATTATGAATTTAATAACGAAATGTAGTTTCAGAACTAACTACTTATTTTCAACATTGAAATTATGGGTTTTGTTATGTGAAAGGTATTAATTATGGTGTTTTATAAATAATATAGTAGAAAAAACAATTGAACCTTGAACCAAGACGTTTTTTTAGGAC